TTGCCGCAATATTCAGCTCAACCTGTTCAATTGACACAACATCCATTTCATTCTGTGGTGTTATCTGAACGCCATTTGTTAAATCAAGGCAGTTTAGGGCATCCAATGTATCATCTTGTGTTTACCCAAGTTGAAGCATTATGCTGGAAATCTGGTGATATTCTTGAAATTCAATGTGCCAATACAGATTCACAAATCAAGGCATTTTTAGATCATTTTAATCTTCAAAACTCCAGTGTGTTTCAGGCTAATCATCCAATAGAATTATTGCGGTTTAAGAATTTACGTTCATTTGATGCCATGCAACATTCAACGGCATTTGAGCAATGGTTGGCACAGGTAGAAGACTTACCGATTCGTGAATATTCGATTGCCAGTATTACATCGCAAAATCAGATTGAGTTGGTGGTCAGACGAGAAGTTCATCAAACAGGTTTAGGGCTGGGTTCAGGCTATCTTACCCATGCGCTGGCTTTAGGTGAGCAAATTTCTTGTCGAGTTCGTTCAAATCCTGCATTTTATCTGGTTCAAAATGATCAGCCTATTATTCTGATTGGAAATGGTTCTGGGATTGCAGGCTTGATGTCACATATTCGACAACGCGCAGAATGGTCTTTTCAGCAAAACTGGTTAATTTATGGCGAACGTCAGTACCAAATTGACCTTGGCTTTGCAGATCAATTGAATCTATGGCAACAACAGTCTGTACTGCCGCAAATTGATTATGCTTTTTCACGTGATACAGATAATCAGAAATATGTACAAGATTGTGTATTGGAGAAATCAGCGCAACTTAAACAATGGATTGAGCAAGGTGCATCAATTTACATTTGTGGTAGTTTAAAAGGGATGGCACAAGGGGTTGAAACAGTATTAATCGATATTTTAGGTGAAGATCAGTTTGAGCAGTTGATTGAACAAAAACGTTACTTACGTGATGTATATTAATTACGTGATGTTTCTCATTTCTATATAGATGATTAAAGTAGCGAATTAAGAATAGTCTTACGAAAGCAAACTTTATAACTTATGGAAATTATACTCTTCTATAGAAATGAATATGTATGATTGAAAAGCTTGCAATGCCACGCTATTCTCAAAAAATATTCACACCAGTACCAGATGTCTAATGTGAATATTCATGCAGATAAAATTTATATCGCAATACCTTTATATTTAGCTGCCCAAGGTTGCGCTTGTTCTAATTGTGCCGCCAGTTGTAGTAACACATCCTCACGTCCAAAAGGTGCAATAAATTGTGAACCTAAGGGCATATTATCTTTATTCCAATATAAGGGTACTGACATGGCAGGTAAGCCCGTGATATTGGCCAATTGGGTAAATGGAACCCATTGCAAATTATTTTTAATCATTTGCTCAACCAGCTTACCTTTTGCCAGTAAGTGGGCTTGATCAACTTTGAGCAAGGCTTTTAAAATCGGAACTTGCCAAGATGGTGTTTTTACCTCGCCATTTTTCGGTGCAATTGAAGCTGTAGACGGAATTAGAAATAAATCATAACGCTCAAAGAAATGATTCATTCTTGCAACATAAACACCCCAATTATTGAGATTGTTGATATAGTCCACAGCAGAAGCTTTGGCACCAAATGCGGCAATTGCCAGTGTATCTAATTCAAAATCTTGATCTGTTGCACCAAATCGCTGTTTGACTTGATTCACTGTATAAGCGCATTGGCTAAACCATGTGGTAATAAAGTCTTTGGCAAGCGCCATACCGTCAATTTGAGGCGTTGCTTCTTCAACAATATGTCCTAAAGATTCTAAAAGTTTGGCCGTTTTTTGAATGGCTTGTACTGCATCTTTTGAAACTTTGGTTCCAATCGGTGAAACAGTGGAAAAACCAATTCGCAAACGTTTTGGGGCTTTTTCAATGATGTCTAAGTAGCGTTCAGTCGGGCTTTGGATATTGAAAAGAGCAGTACGATCTGAGCCTTGAGTAGCATCTAACATAGCTGCACTGTCACGGACTGATTTGCACAATACATGTTGCATCGCAGCCCCATGCATTGCTTCACTGATTTCAGGTCCCCAAGGTGTACGTCCGCGACTTGGCTTTAAGCCAAATAAGCCACAATACGAGGCAGGAATCCGAATAGAACCGCCTCCATCACTTGCACCTGCAATTGGTACGATACCCGCTGCAACGCCAGAAGCAGAACCTCCAGAAGAGCCGCCACTATTGTGTTTTAAATTCCACGGATTTTTGCAACTGCCCCAAGCTTCAGGTTCAGTGATACCTTTAATGCCAAACTCTGGCGAATTGGTTAAACCAAAAGTAACCACGCCCGATTTTACCCAGCGATTGACGATTTCTGAGTTTTCTTTAGCAATATATTTAGCATTTTTAAATGCTTTAGAACCAGATGAGGTTGCGACACCCGCATATTCTTGATGTAGATCTTTGAGTAAAAATGGTACACCTGAAAAGGGGCCATTCGCATAATTTTGGGTATTTTTTAATGCGTGTTCATAGATCGGAATAACGATCGCATTAATTTTAGGATTTACCTGCTCAGCACGTTGAATTGCGATTTCTAATAATTCATGTGCTTGTACTTCTTTGTTTTGTACAAGTTGTGCTAAACCGATACCATCATATTGAATATATTCTGAAAATTTCATAGCTTTCCCTTGCTGTTTTGAGTTATTGGGCAAATATCTTTTGGTTTTGTTCGATCGTGGTTTCTAAACAAAGTTGATTTCTACCTTTTTCCTTGGCTAAATACAAAGCATCATCAGCCCGTTTAATCAGCTGTTGAAAAGGTATGCAATAGGGTAAAGTCTGATAACTTAAGCCAATACTGACGCTGATATTTAAGCTACGCTGATCATCTAAATGAATCGGGGTATTGAAAACGCTATTACAAATTCTTTGTGCAATGGCAACACTTTGTTCTAAAGATAGATCTTTTAATAATATAGCAAACTCTTCTCCACCTAAGCGACCAAATAGATCATTAGCACGAATTTGTGCTTTGACTTGATGGGTAAACTCTTGCAAAACATAATCGCCAATCACATGGCCATATTGATCATTAATTTTTTTAAAATGATCTAAATCTAAAACCAAAATCGTGACACTGTGTGCTTGTTGCTTTTCAACATCCTCTGCAATGGTACGTTCACTTTCTTCATAGAAATAACGACGATTGAGTGTGGTAGTGAGACCATCATGATTGGCTAAGTATAAGATTTGGTGATAAAGCTTTTGGCGATTTAAACTGATAATTGCAAGGGTTAAAGGTCCTAAAGCTAGCATCATTAAACCGATGCGTACAGACAGTGTGGTGCCCAAATAGGCATCTGGTGACTGAGCAATATAATATGCAGTCAATGCATTATAGAGCAGCATACACACAATACAGTTAATGATAGAGACAAAGAATAGGTTATAGCTTAGTGCAGCCCAAACCAATGCTGCAATGGGGAACATAATCGCACCTGGACCCAGAAAAAAATGGGTCAGAATGACGGATAAAACGACTCCCAACAGTGGAAGAAATTTTTCGTACTGAAAAGGCTGTTGTTTAAATTGTTGGATATGGCTTTGAATGGTTTTTTTATCAGGGATTGCCAATATAATCGGTAAAAAGGCAATGACATTGAGGATTTCTCCCGTCCACCACATACCAAAATCAATCCAGATTCTATCCATAACCATAAAGGTGTTTGGTAAATAAGGGACCGTTAAACTTGCGACGATTGGTGAAGCTAAACAACCGCCAAAGGCACTGATTGCAAATAAGTATAAAAATGTTAAGCCTTTATTATATTGTTTATAATCCAGTTTAAAAAATCGAATCAGTCCTAATGTGACCAAGGCATGAGATAGATTGGCTAAAGTCAGAAAGAAGGTGATTAAAAAAGAGTTTCCCGTAATCAGATCTGCAAGCATAAAGGCAGTAAATGCGCCAATCCACCCACCTATATTTTTTAAGCGATGAAACCTTAAAAAAAGTCCAAGTAAAACAGCATTTGCGGGCCAAAAAATGGCAAGAAAGGATAAGGGTCTACCAAATATTCCAGCCAATGCGCAGACAAAAATAATCATTGCAATAATAAAAAATGCAGAGATGTTGTCTTTAAGTGCTTGACTTAAATATGCGATAGCTCGAGGCAATTTGCGAACCTATTCTAAAGAGGGATTAATCTCTAAGCCAATATTTTATCTGGCTCTGCTAAGGTATTAATAAGTAATCATATCTATTTATATCGATAAATCAATAGTTTTAGTTACCTTAATTCGAGCCTGTCACAAAAATATTTTTGCTTAGAATAAACAATAAAGATTGTTCATATATGGTTAATTTTACATGTTTTATTCTAAATCTATGCTAATTTATGTCTGATGAAATATTACATACAGACTTGGTATGAAAAAAACAGCACTTATAATTTCTTTATTGCTTAGCCTTTCACCTTACGTTAGCGCTGAAACAGTTCAACCTCAAGCAACCAATCCTGCGACTGTGGCTGCAACCAATACCACAAGTACAATTCGTATAAATACTCGCCCTGAAATTTTAGGCTTATGGGGCATGGAAATTCCAGAAAATAAGAAATGTACAGAATATTATAATTTCCGCGGTTCCAATGAAGTGGTGGTGAATAGTGCCAAAGAGTGGTCAATCGGTCTGTTTGATTATCAGCCTTCACCCGATAATACACTGGAAAAGCCACCCGCATTAATCATGCAAATTCGCTATGAAAATAATGAAACAGATTGTTCGGGGCGTAAAGAAGATCAGTCTGGTGAAGTTACCCAATATTTTGTAAAGTGGATTAATAAGAACACCTTGAATTTTTGTATTTCTGACAAAGGCGATCAGTGCTTTGCTACTTTACGCAGAGTCTTGCCTTAAGTTGATTTAAAGCATCGATGCTTGTGTAAATAATCAAGAATTTGCTTTAAAATAAAAAACCTCTGATTTTACAGAGGTTTTTTATTGGTTTTTTTACTGGATTAGAGGATGCATATTAAGCATCTTTTTCATGTCCTTGAACTTGTTTTAACAAGTGTTTTTCAAGGTAGTGAATATCCATTGCTTGTGAACAGAAGTTTTTGTCTTCAAGGATCAGATCTTTATGTAAAGGAATATTGGTTTTAATTCCAGTTAAGATCATCTCATCTAAGGCTTGTTTCATACGGGCAATCGCAGTTTCACGATCTTTACCATAAGAAATCAACTTTGCGATCATTGAGTCATAATACGGAGGAATGCTATATCCTTGATAGATATGAGAATCTAAACGGATACCTGCACCGCCTGGCGCATAGAATGATTCAATTTTACCTGGTGATGGTAAGAAGGTCGACGGATCTTCTGCATTGATACGGCACTCAATCGCATGACCTTCGATTTTAATATCTTCTTGTTGAAGATTTAAACCTAGACCCGCAGCGATACGTAATTGCTGTTCAATAATATCTACACCAGTCACTTGTTCAGTGACTGGATGCTCAACTTGAACACGGGTATTCATCTCGATAAAGAAGAATTCACCATCTTCAAATAAGAACTCAAAAGTACCAGCACCACGGTATTGCATCAACTTACATGCATTGACACAAGCTTCAAGAATATGCGCACGCGCTTCTTCTGGTAAACCCGGTGCAGGTGCTTCTTCAAGTACTTTTTGATGGCGACGTTGTAAAGAGCAGTCACGGTCATATAAATGAATCGCTTGACCATTACCATCTGCTAAAACTTGTACTTCAACATGACGTGGTTTTTGCAGGAAACGTTCCATATAAACCGTATCATCACCGAACCACATTTCAGCATCACGTTGTGCAGCTTGAACCGATTCAAGTAATGTATCGACACGTTCAACAATACGCATTCCGCGACCACCACCGCCTGAAGCAGCTTTTACAATCAGCGGGAAACCAATTTCTTTGGCTTCAGCCAACGCATTGTTGGGTGTCACAGCATGGGCTGAACCAGGAACTGTTGGTACACCTGCTTTACGCATCGCCGTAATTGCAGAAACTTTATTTCCCATTAGACGAATATGTTCAGGACGCGGCCCAATGAAAATAAAGCCTGAGTTTTCTACAATTTCTGCAAATTCAGCATTTTCAGATAAGAAACCATAACCAGGATGGATGGCATCTGCGCCCGTAATTTCTGCTGCGGTAATAATGGCAGGAATGTTTAAATAGCTTTCGCTACTTGCACCTGGACCTATACATACTGCTTCATCACAAAAACGTAAATGCATCAAATCTTTATCAGCATCTGAATAGATGCCGACAGTTTTGATTCCTAAAGTTTTGCAAGCTCGAGTGATGCGTAACGCAATCTCACCTCGGTTTGCAATTAAAACTTTTTGCAACATATCAACCCCCGAGGTATTACGCGCGGTAGCGGAATAAAGGTTGACCGAACTGGATTACATCACCATTTTTTACTAAAATTTCTTCAACTACACCACTTTGAGTTGCTTCAATTGGGTTCATAATTTTCATTGCTTCGATGATCCCGAGGGTTTCACCTGCAGAAACAGTTTGACCTACATTTACAAAGGGCGCTTCACCAGGACTTGGTGCTGAATAGAACACACCAACCATTGGAGACGTTTCTACTGCACCACGAGAGGCAGCTTTAACTACAGGCGCTTCAGCGGTTGGGAGGGCAATAGGTGCTACACCAGCAGCAACCACAGGATTACGGCGAGTTAAAGCAATCGATTGATCGCCTTCTTTCACTTCAATTGCTTGAAGATCAGATTCGATCATCAAATCGATGAGCTTTTTAATTTTGCGAATATCCATGGGTTCGTATTCCTAAATTATGATTGGGTTGAAGATTTAAGTTTTTCGATGGCGAAATCAAGTGCAAAAGAATAGCCTTTGGCACCTAAACCACAAATGACGCCAACGGCTTTATCTGATAAATAAGAATGATGTCTAAATGCTTCACGTGCATGAACATTAGAAAGATGTACTTCAATAAATGGAATCGCAACGCCAAGTAGGGCATCACGTATAGCGACTGAGGTATGGGTCAACGCGGCAGGATTAATAATGATAAATTTTATGCCGTCTTGTTGTGCTTGGTGAATACGATCGACCACAGCACCTTCCCAGTTGCTTTGAAAAGTATCTAAACTTATATTGGCTTGACGTGCTTGGAGACTCAATTGTTGGTTAATGTCATCCAATGTGAGGTGACCATAGACCTCAGGTTCGCGCTTTCCTAGCAAGTTTAAGTTTGGTCCGTGAATGACCAAAATGGTCGAACTCATTGAGAGTGCTCCAATTCAAAAGTCGCAAAAAAAATTGCAAGATGTCTGCAAAGTTTGCATATTATGGCATATTTTTCCACAAATACTTTATATTTTCTTTGAATCGTCGCGGAAACGCAGTGCCTTGTATGGGCTATATAATGTTAATTTTGTCTGTAAATGGCAATGTTAAAATATGACATTTTTAGCAGATGTTTTACAGAGACTTCATTTTAAACTGAGTGACCAAAACTATTCATTTGATTTGTGTAACAGCCATATGGCTATCGTCAATAGATAAGATCTCACTACAACGTGTTGTATAGCTTGGAGACCGATTTTGCTGACGCATTTTCCATGTTTCTTGGTTGGAATGATAACCCACTTGTATACAGTCTGAGCCAAAGCGTTGTTTCATGCTTGAGAGCGTATCCATAAGCTGATCACGTTGCTGAATAAAGTCTACAGGATGCCATAAGTCATTGATGTGCTGGCTTTTGCTATGCAGTGCTGAGAACATCACAGCAACTTTTACATACTTTAAATTTTCTTTAAATAAAACATCAATTTGCTGTAATGCTGACTTGGTTAAAATCATCAAATCATCTGTTGCATACATCAAGCCAATGACACTACTTTGTGCCTTTTTATAGGGCGCCTGTGCAACTTTTTCATATAAGGAAACATGCACAACTGCACACAGTTGTCGTTGCTTGCTCAGCCGTTGATGTGCACGATTGACATGGAAAATAATGGCTTGTTTAATAATCTCAACATTGTTTAGAGCAGATGCAAAACTGCGTGAGGAAAGGATGCGTTTGGAGGGAATGTCTGCATCGTCCAAAGCAATGCAGGATTGACCTTTTAGCTCACGAATGGTGCGTCCAATGACCACTGAAAACTCGCGTGCAAGGTAATGTTCATTGGCAAAAGTTAAGTCATAGCAATTATAAATATTATAAGCTTGTAAGCGTTTGCTGGTTTTACGTCCAACGCACCAGACTTCTGCAACACTGGTTTCAAGCAGTAGGCCTTCAAAACTGCATAAATCTAAACCAGTCAGGTCACAGATGCTATCAAAGCCTCCACGTTTCTTGGCAAAATTGTTGGCAAGCTTGGCTTGGGTTTTACTATAGCCAATACCAATGCAACAGGGCAGACCAAGCCATTTTTGGATGGTTTTGATGAGTTTTCTACAATAATCCTGTAGATCGAATAAGTCTTGGTAAGAGCTGAGATTGATAAAACATTCATCAATAGAGTAGGCTTCCAAATCCTCATCTTTAAAAAAAATCTTTAAAATTTTAAAAAAACGATCTGAGAAATCACCATATAAAGCATAGTTACTTGAAAAGGCGAGTACGCCAGCTTTTTTAGCTTGTTGTTCAACTTCATGCCAAGGGATTGCCATATCTATGTTTAACGCCTTGGCTTCATTGCTTCGCGAAACGACACAACCATCATTATTACTTAATACGACAACTGGCTTATTATTTAAACTGGGGTTAAATACGCGTTCACAACTGACATAACAATTGTTAATGTCGATCAAAGCAAAAATTTGTTCGCTCATGGGCTGTTTTGAAAAAGTTACAAATTCAAGTGAAATATTAAAAGATGTTTAAAATAAATTCAAATCAAATCTAGTGTGGATTTGTTCATCCTTTGGGCTGGATGATTAAATAATCGGTGTGGTGAGATACAAAATTGACTAAGCACTGTTGAGCTTCGTGGTGGTTTAAGTAATTTAGGTAAAAAGAGCAAATAGAGAAGTGGTTCTTTTAAAAGGTATATCTTAAATTGCAGCTTACAATGTCGAAAAATGAAACATCTCAATCCTTGTATAGAAAACTGAGAGGGCTAAATTAACAGTTGTCGTCGATTTGTACGGCATATCCCAATATTGAAAAGGATGGATATGAAAATGGCTAATCAACAACATAACTCTGAACAGAATCAGCAACACAATCAGCAACACAATCAGCAGAATGACCAACAAGGTCAACCCAACCAATCTAATCAGCAGCAGAAGCAACACAGTCAGCAAGATCAACAATCAAATCAACAAAACCAGCAAAAGCAACAATCCAACCAACAGGCTCAACAAAATCAGCAAAGCCAATACAAGCCTCAGCAAAAATAGGACTTTGAACTCATCTTAATCGTAGCTTATAAATGACAAAACGCCTCAACTGAGGCGTTTTGTCATTTTAGCTATTTTGAATTTTAAGCTTCTTCATTTTTAAGTGTCTTGATTTTAAGCTTATGTTGCTGATCACTTGAATCGTTTATTGCTTTGATCAAGAATTTTATGAAGACCTTCATTTATATTTATACATTGATTAAATTTGGCAAAATGGTGTATTTCAGTGTTTAGTGCGTTAAAGAAATGTGCTGGGTCCGCAATAGTATGATTGAGATGTTGCGGTTCAAGATGTAGGCTGATGACTTCAAATTGATTTTTTGCCCGATGTGCTTTGCAATCTATACGCCCCACAATTTGATCCCCATATAAAATAGGTAAACAAAAATAACCAAATACACGTTTAGGTGGCGTCACATAACATTCCAACCGATAATCAAATTTAAACAGGGTATTTAAACGGTCACGATGTATCACCAGATTGTCAAAAGGAGAGAGAATTTTGACTTTTAACTCAATATTGGGGATCTGTTCTAAGGCATCGGTTTGGATATAAAGATTTTGACTCTCTTTGTCACTACTGCCTAATTGAGCTAAAGTGGTGATCACGCCCGCATCTAATTGTTCATTGACGATGTCACGCATTGCCTCACGAATCTTTTGCCCAACTTTTAAATGCAACAATTGCTTCCATGCAAACACGCCATGTGCACGGAGCGTGGTATTGAACAAGTAGCGGGCATATTCCTCTAGTGTAGGAACACTCAGATCAAGATGACTTGGGATACAATATTCGGTCAGTTGATAGACTTTTTCCATACCATTACGTTCAGAAATCATCAAATCGCCTTGCATAAACAATTGCTCAATCGAACGACGCGCTAAACTTGAGTTCCACCAGCCCCCTGAATTTTGCTTATTGCCTTGTTCAATGTTGCGTAATCGAATACTGCCTTCAGCTTTCGCCCGAGCCAGAATCTCATTCATAAAAGCTTGATCACCGCGATTAAAATAACGATGCTCACCATTTCTAATCGATGTCATATGAGGAAGTGCATAGCGATAATCTTGCATTGGTAAATAGGATGCTGCATGAAACCAATATTCAAAAATATGCTGCTGTTTGACCAGTTGATTTAAGTGGCTTTGCTGATAATCTGGAACACGGCTCCATAAAATATGGTGGTGGGCACGTTCTACTACAGAAATTGTATCAATCTGAACATAGCCAAGATGTTCAATCGCATGGCGTGTTCCAGATAATCCTGTACCAAAGGAAGCAGGTGAAATTAGGCCTTGATGAGAGAGTGCCAGACGTCTTAGTGATTCAATCATAACAATTATTTTTTTAACCTATTTTTAGTGAATCTTGGTTACTAGGTGGGTATCGCAAATGAAGCTTGAAGATGAGTAGCACAAACAAAGGCTATGACGTTCAATGATCATTTTAATTTTTTAAGAATACAAGTAACAACACCCCAAATCATAATTTGTTCTTCACTGTGTGGGTGAATATCTGGAAAATCAGGATTTTCTGCTTTGAGCCAAATATCATAAATTCCTGTAGATACTTTAACTTGCATAAAGCGTTTGACTGTAAATTCATTATTGATTAATGCCAAAACAACATCGCCGTGTTCAGCCTCTAGGCTACGGTCAATTAAAATTTCATCTCCAATTTCAATACCTGCATTTTTCATTGATAAGGAGTTAACTTTTAACATAAAGGTTGCAATAGGGTTATGAATTAAGTGTTCATTTAAATCAATTTTCTTTTCTGTATAGTCTTGAGCGGGTGATGGAAAGCCTGCTGCAACGGTTTCCAAAGGATAGGGGATACTGATGTTGCTACGAAATTCAATTGTACGTAAATCTTGCTTTGAAATAGGCTCGATAATAGAAAGAAGAGAATTGATTGTCTTAAAATTTTCCCTTACAGAGCGATCACTTAACTTCGATGGTGGAGTCAAATTTGGCGGCATCACGATTCATCTTGAAAATGTAACATAATCAAGTTTAACAAAATAAACGCGTGATGCAAGATTCTTTTGGTGAATTGATTGTGATTGTCAAACTGTCGGCTTACAATTTGACAAAATCCAATCGTTCGGAAATGTACATGTTGCAAGATTTTGTAGAAGAACAGAAATTAGTGTGTGAAGAATTTGACTCTCGATATATCAAAGTCAATGAAACGGATCTCGTGGCTATCGCTAAGCAAACCTTAAGTAAAGAACCGATCGTGGGTTTACGTAAACAGCCTGATGCTGAAAATGTGTCATGGTTTATTTATGGTGGTGAGTTGGAAGAGGGTGAAGATTTTTTTGATGTGATCAGTGTAAAAGAGCTTGAAGAGGTTTTTCCTGATGCGATCCCTTATCTGGCTTTGGAACACGGCTTTAGATTTATGATAGATGCTGATGAATACGAAGATGTATGGAAAGCAGATATTTTATAAATAAAAGGTTTGCTTAAGCATGATCTATAGATTTACTTTGACCCTCTGCAGTATTGTTCTGAGTAGTGGATTGAGCACGCAAAGTTTTGCTGAACCATCCGCGCAAAAACTCACCCAAGAACAGTATGACCAATGTATTCAAACCTATACTGATCAAGTCAATGCAACTAAACATATCTTGGATGAAGCGCATAGCACGATCACTGCGATTGAACAGCATAAAGCATTTTGTTCACGTTTAGATGCTTATCAAGCGATTGCTAGGATTTCGAAAGAAAATTTAGAACTGAATACGGCTAACATGATGTTGATGATCGCCAATAATTTTTTAGATCGACAAAAGCAAAGTATTGAGCAGTCAGGAATGACGCTTGAGCGATTTTGTTCGATTAAGAAATAAACAAAATGTCATTTAAGCCT